GCGTCTTTGCGTACAGGGATGTGCCCGAAGCGCATCAGATGTACGTGTCCCAGACCCACACAGCCGGGCCTGGTGGGAGTGGCGTGCGTCAAGGTGGGCAAGGCATGGGTGATTTATGTCGTGGTCGTGAATACGGAGAAGAGCAGCATTCAAGTCATCGCAGACTTGCTCAACCAACAGTGACTGACTAGATAGATAGATTGTGCCTCATATATAGTATTTACTTATCTGTACCCTGTGGATATGATGTAAATGCCCAGTGGCTGGTCGTTTTGGATTGTATGGGATGTGCCCGCTTCGTGAGCACATGCATATTTGTCTTCATGTATCCGTCGTGCATGACTGCTCCATGGCTAGATTTGCAATGCTAACGCACAGTCAAAGTCTATTCGTGCATACGCACGTGTGCGCACAGAGACATTCATCATATGCACACACTCCAAGTCCACATGTAGAATTTACTTTCAAGCTAGGATCCTATCTCCGACGTCAACGCGCTCCGAGCGCGGATCTTGCCCCCTTGCCCAGACCCCTTCCCGCGGGCGTGATGTACGATGTGCGTTTGACGTACGATGTGGAAGAGGCGATCTTTAACGTGCAAGCGTTAGGTCTTCCAGTGATTTCCCTCCTTTCTTTCGCCAACTCGCTCTCTCTTTCTCCCAGCCTAATCTGATACGTCTCTCTACCTGCTCTACACGGCTTGTTCCTTTCAGCGTTTTTGCCTTTGTCCTCAGCTTCTCTTTTCTCTGAGCACCTTCAGTGTGTGTTGTCCCTCGGTGGTCGAGAAAATGACGACGGCTCTCGCGCGCCTCCTCGTCATCTGCTTCTTCGGTAGACACAAAAACACAGAAACCAAAGACCAGTCTATGCGACCCTGTCCTTCTTCATGCAGCCGCCGCGTGCAGTACAGGGTGGTCGAAGCGCTTCGGCGAGACCAAACAGAGTGAGAAGGATGGCCCTGTTCTCATGCCCACTGCACACTTGTATTCTGTATGCAGGCGTCAAGGTCTTCGCTTCAGGCGGCGTCAAGGTGCTCCCCTCACCAAACAGTACTGACAGTGGTACCGATGCGGCAACTTCCCGTCGACAACTTGAAGGTGCTAAAGCGACGATCAGATCACCTGCCCACACGAACACCTCTGTGTGTGTGTGTGTGTGTGTGTGACAGTGCCGGAGAGATACAGCGGGGCATCGGACGAGAAGGACTTCTTCGCGGAGCTCAATCAGCGCCAGCTGTTCGATGCGGACGACTTTCGGTTTGAGTTCGACGAGGCCGAGGTGGAGTCGGCAAACGGCGACCTACGCCCGAGGATGATCGACACCGATCCTGTTCTTGCCGTCCTGCCCAGTGAGGGCGTCGCTCAGAACCTGGTATGTATGCATAATGTATCCCACTACCAAAGGGCGAGTGGAAGCTGTGCTGAAGGATGTGGTCTCGTGTGTTGTCTCTGTTGTTGTTTGACTGACAGGTGACTTTGGGGCCTTGTGCTGTGAATCAGCCGCACGTCCACCCGCGTGGCATCCAGGCTTCCTTCGTCCTCAAGGGCCCGATATTCTTCGGCTTCCTCGAGGAGAACGGCGGACGTTTCATTTCGGCTGACATAGAGGAGAACCAGAGCATCGTCATCCCCCAAGGATTGATCCACTTTGCCCAAAACCGAGGCTGCGACACTGTGCAATTTCTCGCCAACTTTGACAACCGCGACCCGGGCGTCCTGACGATCGCCTCCAACTTCTTCACTCTTCCTATAGACACACTACGTGGAACCCTCGAAGGGCTAGACGACGAGACGATCAGTCGGGTGGCCCAGATAGCTAAGAATGCTGCCAATCCCTCGAGGGACCCCGCGTGTGCCCACGCGTGTGGATTGGCTTGAGGGAGGGAGGGAGTGTGGCATGCATGGCGTAGTATGTGGGTGCCGCGTGGC